AGAAACAAAACAACAATTAAGAGCCATTGTGTACAAAAAGTTTATATTGTCTCATTTAATAACTAACATTAACCTAGATCATTGCATTTTAGAAATATGAGATGGACAAGCTTAGACAGGTCGAGAAACCTGTGTCTGGTTAGTAAGTGCAGCTGAGATTTGACAAAGTTTGTTCTGATCCCAAATCTGTCTTTATTTTTTGTAGTACTCTACTCTCCTAACGGGGAAGGAATGTAAAAAAATGCTGAGAAAAGAAAGGTCAGGGAGCTTGTTGCTATTGAGAGGAACTCAATCTGGAAGTTGAGTCTAGAAAGACCTGCTGTTTGGGAAGAAAGAGGTCATGCTCTGTGGGAAGCCCCCAGCAGGCCCCTCACCTCGGTCTCTGTTCAAGTCCACCCCTTTGCTGGGAGCCTCTTCCTGGCAGCGGCTTCCCTTCTGTCTGCGCCCTTGGGGAGACTGCAGAACTGCCCCCTCTGATACTGCGGCCTGCCCCTCCCGCCCCCACTGCCTTCTCTCCCCTCCTGCTCTTCTGCCTGCCCCATCCCAGCACTTCCCTCTTACAGCTCCTGAGTAGTTCAGTTGTCCGGTTTACTGACAGCCATTCCTACTTAAATAGGTTTCCGGAGGACACAGATTATTGTCTTTTTGTGTCCTCCGTTCTATTGTAAGCCCCAAGAACAGTGCTAGGATTTGGTAGGTGCTGGAAATAATTGTTTAAAAGTTTGAAGACTTTTGAGTTAAGAGTGAGCAAAGCATGTTTGAGGATCTAGTGAAACCAGTCTTCCCTGGAGTGGAAGGGAATCCAGTATGTTGTAGATTCCAGGTGAATAAACAGAGCAAAACAGGGTTGTGAGGACTTGAATCCTAAGCAAAGGAATTTGTTTACCATTTGGTAGGAATGGGAGAGCTTTCTATAAGAGTTTAATAGTTTAAATAAAAGTGTATTAATTTATTGATTTAAAAGTAGTATCTAATAACTTTTGTTGCATTTCCTTTTTTAAAATGCTCTCTTGAGTGCTTTTAGCTTTACCTGATGAAATTGACTTAGTCATTTGGGAAATTAACTATCTCACATATTAAAGAGTCCCTAGGGAAAGCATGCTTCAAGGTTGGCTGATTAATTTGGCCAGAAGCGTCTCTGAAGATTCCATTTTTTTTTATTTGTTTCCTCTTTTCCTCCTCCTCTCCCTCCCCCACACCCCCCTGTTTTCTTCCACCTCCCCTTCCCCCACCTCCTCCTCCTCCTTCATCTCCATCTCCATCCCAGCCCCCTGTCAGTATCTCTGTCCCCACGTCCATCTCTGTTTCTGTACCTGCTGTCCCTCCCAGGTTGAACCTCCTTAATGATTTTAGGGTAGCCGCCTCCACCAGCTAGGGACAAAGACTTCCTTGTTTGTGGTTCTCTCAAAGCCATGAAATTTAAGTCCTTCTCTTCATTCTGCCTGGCACACCAAGTCATTCATTCAGCATGTGGTGCACAGACGTTTGATAAATACAGGAGGATTGGCTTGTTCAGATCGCGTCACTGTTGGAAGGCAGCTGGCCATCTTTGCCCAAGCTCTGCAGCGGAGCCCATGTGCGTGCAGTGGTGGGGGAGGCTGAGTGGGCTGCGTTAATCCTGTTAGATGAAAATATGTTAAAAAAATAGCTGCATAATTGATTTTCATGGGGAATACTCATCTCCTACAACAGGGATAACAAGGGTGCAGGGATAGGGTTAGCAAGATGCACTTAGCATGTTCCAGGGAGAACCAAGAGCACTTCTTCAGGGGTGACCCAGCAGATTCCACAGAAGTAATAACTCCATCCTGCTTTCTAGAGAGATGGGCGTTCCACTGTGCCTTGACCTGTTCCTGCACACCGTCACCTGAGGCGTCCCTGGGGTCAGACTAGGGGAAAGACCCACACTTTTGAACTGCAATCTGCGGCAGTTTATTATGATAGTAAAAATTCAGCAATATTCAGTAGGAAAAAAAGGATCTCATTGCATAATCTCACCAGACAAATATACTATTAACATACACATTTATATTTGTATATAAAAATATACATTAACTTTTCTTTCACTTCAAACTTATGAGATCATACAGTATACTGCAAAAACACAGACTTAAAATTTCATATGTATGTACGCATGATTTGTAAAAATCATGTGTATTTACACACACGCAGAAAAATACATGTGTGTATATTTTAAGCCAATATAGGCTCATAGTAATTCCACTTTTTGTTATTTTTCTTAATTTAACTAACTCTAGAGCAGTTTTTTTACATTAATAAATATAAGCATTCCTCATAATTCTTAGTTTTATTTTGGAGCTTGTTATATCTTTTTTTTGTAAAATTTTTTATATCCTTTTCCTGATAGAACTATATGAAAAAAATCAACAAATAATAAAAGTATGGATTATAGGAGTAGATCAAAATCCTTTTCATTTCTTTCTTTAATGCTTAATTTTTAAATGGGTTTTATTTATATCTTCTGTAATAATTTATTAAACTTATTTTGTTTATTCTAATTTTCTCCTCTTTCATGGTTTGGTTTTTTAAATAGTGTTTTCTTTTGTCTATGTTTTTGTGGATTGAATGGTAAGAAAGTTCAGCAGTTTTTATCTGTGGTAAAATCTGAGTTTTACTGGCATTTCCCTTGTTCTTCTCTGCTTCTGGGATCTTCATCTCAAAGCTGAACAGACAGTGAGTAACATTACAGCAGCCGATTGTTCACTAAATGAAAACTATCAGAACATACAGAGTGTGAATTTTTTTGCATAGTAAATACATATTCCTTTATTAACATTATATATATATTTATTAAATAATAGCTGTGTACATTAATGCAATCATGGGGTACAATGTGCTGGCTTTATATACAATTTGAAATGCTTTCATAAACTGGTTAACATAGCCTTCACAACATTTTCTTAGTTATTGTGTTTAGAGATTTATAATTTACATTTAGTCAATATCACATGTACCCTTGTAAGATGCACCATAGGTGTGGTCCCACCAATTACCCTCTCTCCACCCTCCTTCCCCCTCCCCTCTCTCTCCCCTTTCCCCTTCTTCTGAGGCTATAATTGGTTTATAACTAGTTTCATAGTAGGGCTGAGTACATTGGATACTTTCTCTTCCATTCTTGAGATACTTTGCTAAGAAGAATATGTTCTAGCTCCATCCACGTAAACATGTAAGAGGTAAAGTCTCCATCTTTCTTTAAGGCTGCATAATATTCCATGGTGTACATATACCACAATTTATCCATTCGTGGGTCAATGGGCATTTGGGATTCCTCTATGAGTTAGCAATTATGAATTGGGCTGCAATAAACATCTGATACAAATATCTTTGTTATAATGTGATTTTTGGTCTTCTGGATATATACCTAATAGACAAATTGCAGGATCGAATGGTAGGTCTATTTTTAGATCTCTAAGTGTTCTCCAAACATCTTTCCAAAGGAATGTATTAGTTTGCATTCCCACCAGCAGGGAGTTGAAGTATTTTTATGATGTGACTTCAAAGTAGAAGAGAAAATGTTTTTCCTATACCATTGTTACAGTCTTAGGAAATTATAAAATCCATGATCTATTATAAAATCCAATAATACAGTAATATGACCAATAGATACTGTTTATTAAACACATCCTGTCTAATTGAACTGAGCTTGGTGTTTTTTAAAAGGTACCCAAGCAAAGTCAGTATTTAGCTTATGTTGGAATCTTGTTTGCTTTAGGTTTTGAACCTTTAAGGGCCATAATAGAAAGAATATTTTTGAAAGACTTTGAAACTGAGTGAGTGATAGGGTGAGTAGAATAGTGTGTGTGTGTGTGTGTGTGTGTGGTGGGGGTGCAGACATAGGTGCCATTGCCCATACTGGGCACATACTCGATTCAGTGACCAGCTTGCCATTGGTTCATATGTAATTTGGGACTGGACTTGTCATCATATGAGGAAATTGGTGATAAGCAGTAAGTTGAGAAAGATTAGAGAAAAAAAGGAAACATGAGCCCTCAGCGGTTTAGCTAATATGGATGGATCTTGAATAAGGAAGAACAGCCACACCACCTGAACTTGTAGGGCAGAGAGGTAGACATGTTTTGGCTGCATCAAGATAAGTTAGTCTGTGCTCTGGAATGACACAGAATATGTTCAGTTTTTTCATGATAAATGTCTACTGGTGGTGACAAAGAGTTTGATTAATAAAGAGGTCATAAATACCCAAATGATGATACTTTCAAATTCCCAGTTGATTGAAAGAAACAGACATGATAATGCAGCAGCGTTAAATTAAGGGAGTCCAGCAAGGAATCTGGAGAAGCCAGCCTGAGTTCCAGTGACCCTTCATGTGTTAGGGCCACACCAGCACCAGCCTACCTGGAGAAGACTCTTTGCTGGCATGTTTCTTACACTCTGCTGGTCACACAGGCATATTTTTTTTTTATTTATTTTTTATTTTTTTGCCTGTAGCTAGATTTGGGGTCAACCAATAGTCTGACTTGCCCAGTAAACAGTGCTAGCAGGGCTGGTATGACTCCTCAGACCCAGGGGACAAGGGGGCACTGTTGATGGCTGTGTTTTATCTCCTTTCTCCAGAGCAGCCTGAAAGAATCTTAAGATTTCCATGAGTCTCAGGGCACCAAACACTTATTTCAGCAAAGTGGCTCAGGTCTGCTGAAATTAACCCTCCTAGTGTTAATGGTTGTTTGGGATACTCCTGTGGGGGGTATGGGTTGCAGGCACCTTCACATTAGGACCTCTAAAACAGGTAATCTGGAAAGGGGTGTGGTGTGTTCATTTTCCCTCTGGAATTAATATAGGTCTAACTCTAAATTTGTTACATTTAACTTTTACAATTTTACAAAATCAAATTTGTAGATGTTATAACAGAAAACATTGCAAAGAGCCTCTGAGTTCACTGAGAGAGAATGACATGGTTTATATTTCAGAACCTTCTTAGAGTTTCTAATTATGTTTTTTCTCCTTCCTTCTTCATCCTCCAGATGAATCAGCTCCTAAGGAAGTCAGCAGGGTAAGTAATGTGAACATAATTTTTACTATAATAGTATAAGAAATGAGAAATCTTCATATATTTTGTCAGTACTCAAACATGCTAAAGTATTACAGAAATAGCTGAAACTGAGTACCCTCTCCAAAGTGTTGCTCACTAGTACGGATAAAGTCAGTAGACAGGTTGCAAATTAGGGATCTCAGGACTGAGCCCAGCCACAAACATGTGTCATTTGGCCCGTACATACTTACGGGGTTTTCTGAATCAGTTGTCAACATTGACAGATTGAGAGTTTGCATATAAAGAATGGGAAAAACTAACATGGCATTTCCACACGGCGTCAATGTGCTGAAGCCCAGGCTGCCCTCAGATTCATTCAGTGCTCTCCAGGGTGTCCCTGTTTCCCCTTCAGCTTCCCTCGTGTGCAGTATTTGGCTGACCCTGACTTTGAGTCCCCCACCTTCTTTCTGGGAGCATGAACCATGGCAACTCACATACTGAAGGCATGAACAGCTCAGGACATTTAGAAACATGAAATGTACAGTTTTCACGTCCTGGAGAAATATTTAGTGTTAATTTAAGAGTCTTAGTAAACATAAAAACTTATGGCGGATTGTTACTGAAAGCATTTAGCATACTGAGTTTTATAGTACAAAGTCATAAGTATTTTTAAATGTTTTATTAAACAATATTTTATAATAATCAAACTTAATATTTTAAATGTTTTCTGTATATAGATAAAGAGCTCAAGTGTGTATTAAATAGTGAAAAAGATCAGTTTGAATTGCATTTGACTCAACCTTATACAAGAAATTAGGTTGTTATTGTAAGATATAGAGTGAAGCACTTTTAAGAAAATCACGTTAGATGTTGTCCTTTATTTTTGATGCTCTGAAGAAAGAGATCTCTAAAATGACCATGGCCCATGTTGGGGCTGGTGACTGGGGTTGGGGCAGAATTCCCTTTCTCCGTAACAACCTAACAAGTTTTCTACAAGTCTCAGGGTTTTTCTGGGTGCCTTCCCTATTAATTTCACTTTATGCAGAGCTTATAGTTGGACGGTTCCCAAGTCTGGATGCCCCCAAATGTATCAAGAGGTGGAGGGATCAACCTAGAGTTTTGGCAGTTGCTAGGAAAAGCAGAAAATGCTAAAAAGGCTGTTTGAGGATGAGAAGGGGATTCTGACATGTGATCTTGGTTGTGCAGAGTCATAAAATATTGGGATGTTGATATTGCCCAAGCTGCTATCTCAGATGCCGTGAGTCCAGACAGTGCCATTAACAATACCACATACTATTTTTAAGGTCACTAGAAATGATGAGACTATACATAATGATCCTCTGTGATATTATTTTATGACATTCTCTTATATTATGCCAAATTTGGAGAAAATATATCCCTAACTGAGAAATACTAAATTTATTCCTGGCTATATTAAGATTTCTTACAATATACTACATGTCTTGATTAATGCTTATTAGAATAATTTTCAGAATTTGCTTTAGGAAATAGTATACCACTATTTTCTGCTACGATTAAGCTTTTGATAGATGGTGACTGACCACAGGGCTTCTATTCAAACACACTCTTTTCAGAAACTATGATCATTGGGGGGAAGATTGTTACTCTCAGGAAGTTTGATTATTATGAAATACTCTCTGACTTATAGGTGAACAGCCTTCCCTTAATCGCTGTCCATTACTATTTGTTTTAACTTAACTTTTGTAGTAACTCAACAAAGGCCATGCATCATATTCCATCTGTATACTCTGAGTACAGGGATGTGTTTGTTCTTTTCCAATAAAACACCTTTTTGTTTTATTCAGAATATTAATTAAGGGGGTACAAGTGTTTTTTTAACATGGCTGTATAAGGCTTAAGTCAGGGATTTTGGTGTGCTCATCACCCGAACAGTGTCTACTGTGCCCAGTAGATAAGTTTGTGCCCATGTGGACCCATCTGTTAGCTCTCACTTTTTAGTGAGACTGCATGGTGTTCTTTTTTCCATTCCTACAGTTCTTAGGATAATGGTCCCGGTTCACTCCATGTTGCTACAAATGACATTATTTTGCTCCTTTATATGGCTGGATAGTACTCTATGGTGTCTGTGTATATGTGAGTCACACCCCATTTTCTTTATCCATTCATGAATTGAAGGGCTCTTAGGTTGATTTCACATCTTTGCAATTATAAATTATGCTGCGATAAACATTTAAGTGCAGGTATCTTTTTGATTAAATGACTTTTTTTTTTGATTTATACCCAGCAGTGGGATTATTGGATTGAATAGTAGGTCTTTATTTATTTGTTTGAGGATTCACCTCACTGCTTTCCATAGAGGTTGTACTAAATTTCAGTTCCACCAAAGACTGTAAATGTTCCTTTCTCTCTGCATCCACGTCAGCATCTATTGTTTTTGGCTTTTTTACTAATGGCCATTCTGATATGGGTAAGGTATTAACTCATTGTAATGTTAATTTGCATTTCCCTGATGATTAGTGATGTCAAGCATTTTTCATATGTGTATTGGCTGTTGGTTATTGTCTTCAAAAAACTTCTGTTCATATATAATTTTCCCACTTTTTGATGGGGCTATTTGTTTTCTTCTTGCCAATTTGCTTGAGTTCTTTGTAGATTCCAAGTATTAGTCCTTTGTTGGACGTGTAGTTTGTGAATATTCTCTCCCAATTCTGTAGGTTGTCACTCCACTCTGTCATTTCCTTTGCTGTGCACAAAAAGTCCCATTTTTTATTTACTTTTTATTGCCATATTTACTTTTGGGGTCTTAGTCATAAATCCTTTGCCTAGTCTGATATTTAAAAGACATTTTCTGCTAGAATTTTTATGGCTTCATGCCTTATGTTTATATCTTTAATTCATCCTGAATTAATTTTTGTATATGGAGAGGTTTTGTTTGTTTGTTTATTCATATATATATACATCCGCTTTCATTCTGCCTGAGGCTGTCCAGCTTTCCCAGCACCATTTATTGAACAGAACATCCTTTCTATAGTGTGCATTCTTGTCTGCTTTGTCAAAGATCAGTTGGTTGTAGGCAGGTTATCTTATTTCTGGATTCTCTATTCTGTTCCATTGGTCTATGTCTCCACTTTTATGCCAGTACCATGTTGTTTTGTTTAGGGTAGCCTGGAAGTATTAATTCAATTTTAAGGCAAGTAATATGATACCTCCAGATTGTTTTTTTTTAACTTAAGATTGTTTTGGATATTTGGGCTTCTTTTGATTCCAAATAAAGCTTAGGCTAATTGTTTCTATGTCTATGAAATGTGGCACTGGTCCCAAGTTGCTGGTGGAGTGCTCAAGTAGGCTTAATGCCCTTCTTCTTTGGGGTATTCCCTGCCCTGTCCAGTTGGGGCAGCCAAGTGAGTGCCAGTGGGTAGGACCAGTGGGCAGGGAGCTCAGTGGGTCTTCTGTAGGCCTCAGAGAGGAAAGCTGTGAGCCCGGGCACTCAGGGGCCTTGACACCATGGACACGCCAGTGGAGAGAAGCAGCTGCAGCCAATGGGCCTGGCTCGGTTATCCCTTGGGACACCATGACACTTGGCAACGGTGGTCAAAGGGAGGAGGAGGTGGGACACAGTCTGAATGGAGGAGAGCTAGCATTCTGGTCATCATTGTCCCTCTGCCCAGAAGGCAGGCCCCTCCAGAATGTCCAAGCTTTGGGATAACATAGATGTCTTGGGACTCACCAGCCGCTGTGGGTGTTGTAGCATGGGAAATGTTTGTGTGGGGAGAAGTGACACAAAAACTGAAGGGCTGAAGGTCACCGGGAGGAAAAGGCCCCCTGGGCAGAGCAGCAGTCTGCACCTTCCCTCTCCACTATGGTCTGGGGTGACAAGACGGTGCCCTGAGGGGCTGGTGGCCTAGTGCTTTATTCTTAAAAAACAATCTTTTGTACCCTCATAGTAATCTGAAATAAAACAAAACAAAAACAGAAATACAACAAGCTCTGAGTTGTCTAGCAGCAGTAGCAGCAGCAGCGTTTGGGCTCCTGAGGGTAGACAAGCTCTCCAGAAGCTCAGCAGGCAGGCAGCCTGCTGGCTGTCAGAGGAGTGGAGGACACAGCCCATCTGCCCTTCTGGGGCCTCCGAGTTCCTCAGGACTGAGATCCACTGGTGTCCTGCCCCCTCTTGTTCTGCTTTGTTACGTCCTCTTGTGGAATCTCAGGTAGCTCTGGCACTTTTCCCTCGTAATTACAGCTCATCATTTTTTTTTTTTAATGTAAAACTTTTCCTTTTTTTCTGAGACAGTCTGGCAACCAGAGTCCCTAGTTAGTCACCTTGTCAGACTCCTTGCTTATTTTTTAAATTTTAACTTCTAAATGCCGACTTAGGGTTCCGGGGGACATTATTTGCAGAACACTGTACACTGTTGAATAGCTTTAAATATATGGCAGCCTCGTCATGGACTGGGACGGCCTCACTGTGCATGGTGAGGTAGGGCGCAGACATGTCTTGGTTTGAAAAACGTGTCTGTAAAGTCTCAAAGGGAGAATTAGTTGTTCGTTTGTTTGTTTTTAAGGAAGTATAGGACATTTCTTGTTAATGAGTTTCAGTAAACCACTGGGTTTTTTTTTCCAGGAAATCAAATCATATCTGTATGTGCTATGACTCTTCCCCTCTTCCTTTTCCCTGTTTTCTTTTCCTCCTTCCCCTTCTGTCTCCTTATTTGTTAATCCATTGACAAGTATTTACTGAACAGTTGTGTGTCAGACATTGTTCTAAGGTGCTGAGGATACAGTTGTGAGCAAAATAGACAGGATTCAGGTACGTGTAGTCTAGATGTGAGCGGCAAAAACAGTTCACAAACTGAATGTGTATATAATATATGTTTATATATTTCTCAGCAGTGACAAATACTCTGATAAATGTGTGGAAGAATAAAGCAGAGTGATGGTGGGTTAGGGCTGGGCTGTGGACTTGCTGTACCTGCGCAGTAGGTAGGAAGGTGAATTCCACCAGTTGACGCTTGAGCGGGGATCTGATGGGAGTAAGAGAACTG